GCACTTTTACAGTCAACCACGTGCATCACCAGCTACAACCGCAACAAATTCTCAGACCTTCCTGTTATATGCTCTCACCGCAGAGGTAACACTCATTTCCGCTCAGAATGATGATGAGCACTCAGATGATGAAGGTGAACATGAACCATCTACCCCGCAATATGATCAGCCTGAAGTAACTGCAACGCAAGAGACCCCAGAGGCACAACCGAATCAAGATTACACTGACCCAGATCATCCAATCATGAGAGAAAGTGGACGAGGGCACATCTGCCAGAACTAATAATTGGTGATCCATCAAAAGGAATCAGTACCAGGACCGCTTCAGCCAATGATGAGTGCTTATATTCATGTTTCCTGAGTCAGAAAGAATCAACAAATATGACTGAAGCATTGGTTGATCCGGATTGGGTGATTGCAATGCAGAAAGAGATGAACCAGTCTGAAAGACTGAAAGTTTGGACACTGGTGCCTATGTCTTGTAGAAAAACCATTATTGGCACCTAATGGGTATCCAAGAACAAGAAGGATGAGGACGGTGTGATTATTAGAAATAAGGCCTGCCTGGTAGCAAAAGGTTACAATCAACAAGAAGGAATCGACTACGATGAGACCTTTGCACTATTGGAGAGGATTGAGGGCATCAGATTATCTCTTGATTATGTTGCTCACAAAAGATTCACCGTCTGTCAGATGAATGTAAAGACTGCATTTCTGAATGGAGACCTGAAAGAAGAGGTCTATGTAGCACAACTTGATGGATTCGTAGATCCCGAATGCCCCAAACCCTGGAACAAGATGAATACGATGAACTGGCCAATAAAAAGACATCATGGAAGAAATGATCATGTTAGGCTATGCTATGCCGATCAAGCTCATCTCCCAGATCAAACCCGACAGACTACCACGACCATGGAGGACTCTGATGGCAACTTTAAATAAGTGCTGCATTGCCAAACACAATAGCTTCGACATGTGTATCATCTATCTTCTGACTGCCTTCCATGGTGTGGCATTCAACAAAAACGACGATTTTGTCTCGCTGATCTGGGACGACATCAGGAAGAAGAAAAACATCGAGCCATTCAAACATCTACCATATATGAGATGGTTTTCTATGCTGATGCGACGTGTCTCTAGAACAACTCCAACTATCCACCAAAGACTATCTACTGAGATTCTGAGAGCGTCAGCACTCCATTCCTCAAGTACATTCAAATGGTGACTGAGGATCCTACACTCTTACCATTCACCAGACTTGTGTCTCTGCTGCAGCTAGCTAATCTGAATGATCCATCTGTCTGACGCTACTGCTAGAAGAACAATATCATACTCCCTATGGCTCAGATAAACCCCCCTGAGCCTACCCTGGGGAGTCAGCCGAGAGATAGTGAGGGTCCTGAGAGTTCTACCCAGCCACAAAGACCAGTGGCACGTCGGCCCCATGATGATCAGACTACGTCTGCTGAGGGCCAACCCCAAGTTGCTGAGGAGATTTCCCATGATTCGCCAAGCGTAGCCAGAACAATAAACGCTGACGATGAGGGCTCCGGTAGCAAGGCTAACAAGCGCAACAAAGTCAACAAGGATGATGAGATTAATGATGATGCGGACGACAACGCTAATCAAGCCAGGGAGCCTCCGGTACAAAAACGCCGACTCATTATCAGGCTCCCCACGGAAACAGCAGAAAGAGAGGTGTCTTACTCGCGGAGGAACAAAGAAGAAATCATTATAAGTGCGACGCGCTCCAAGCATCAAATGACATCCTTTCCTCATCATTCACTCCTACATAGAGGACACGGGACGTAAGCAATCTGGCAAAAGAAATAGCCCTGTTTGACGAGTGTACAAACCTAGATGTAGTAAACCGGACTGACCCCATAGGAGCAGAAGCTGAATTTCTCAGCTTCCGAGTAGAAGACGCAGCATCTTGTCCAACTGCGCATGCACAAGCCACACCTAGCCACTCTGCTGCCTCCCAACAGGTAGTAGTTTCACAAATAGGGGATCTTATACCCACCTCTCTGCCCCCTTACGGAGCAGTTAAGGATGTACATAGTGGTCTATCGCCCCGGGCCACTACCCTTTCTTCTATCACATTGAGTCTAGGTGTCACACTCCCTACATTTGCAAATTTGCTAGGACACATACACTTTTCACACCACCGCACTCTACAGGTCCACTTTCCCTGTCAACAACGATCAGAGATACTTCGATGATGATCGGAAGTCCTGCCGCTGAACAGATAACTCAATTATTATCTGCAGGCCACACACCAGTAAACTTTACTGATGTTGTGACAACGGTTACTACCCCTGTAACCGGACAACCCTAACCCTACCGACCTTGCAGTCATTCAGCAGCGTTGCTTGGATTCCACCATTAAACCATGGGTGCACGAAGCAATAACCGCTCGGGCATAGGAATTCAGGACCACCCCGGCGCTTCTTAATGACATCATCAAACCCTAACTCAACCCTCATCCTCCCACTCCCAACAGCAACTCACCCCAATCCTTATCCTATCCCATTTACAATGCCATTCGATGACCTAGCATCCATTATGCTAGCGAGAATTCTTGAAAACGAAGAAGCTCCACTCACTGACAAACAGAGAGCTCTTTTTGTAGTACCTGAAACCGACAGCACATGCAGTGACAGTCTCCGCGGTCACAAATGTTCGCATGAGGACCCTGATGATTCGGATCCTCATGAGGGGGAGAACAAGAGGCAGCGGACACTTGAGCATGTTGCGTCAACTAGCCAACAACCACAACCCGAATCCTCTAACAACCAACAACCCCAATCATCTAGCCAACCCAAAAGCCATACTACTCAGGAGGTTGAGCTGCGCGAAATACGGATAAATGCAATGTTTCTCTCAAGGATGCACATTTTTTTAAGGGGGGTTCTATTTTCTCCTCCCGGTGACGAACAATGACAAAGCATACCGAGTGCTCCAGTTGAGGGGGAGCACAGAGAGAAAATAAACAAGATCAATGAGAGATAAGTCCCAATGGCTTAGTAAACCCAACTAAGCCTACCCAAGGGACAAAGCCGAGAGTGAGTAGATGAGTGAATATTATGAGAGTGAGGAAGCAGAAGGCTCCGATGAGCAAGAAGACAATAATTAATGACAAATCTGCTACCTCAAATGAGCTATCAATCGATGAATCAATCCCAGTCACTCAAATACTCCGGACAATCCCCATAGGTTCAGGACTGCATTTATTCAGATCCCGGGTAGAAGTCGCTGCATTTTGTCCAAACAGCGCGTGCACAACCCTACCCTAGACCACTCACCTGTCTCCCAAAAGACAGGTGTTTAATCACTGTTCACGGGGAACCTCATCTCTTATCACCGTCTCCTTCTGAGGCGACTGATACTGACTACAGTGGCCCTCAGCCCCATGCCACTGAACTTTCATTGATCACGTTGTGTCTAGTTATCTCACTCCTAAATGTTTTGAAATTTCTAGGACACATACACATTTTAGAGTCAGTTGCAGGTCCAAGTGACCATGCGAGAACTTCCATAGGCTCATCTTCTATAGATGCAGACCGATGATTGGATGGAAGTCCTGATGTTGCAACATAGAAATCACCAACATTTTCAGGCCATCATTTAGAGTTCATCTCTATAGTGATGATAACGGGTGTCTACACGACCCCGGGGGGCTAGAATTATCCATGCTGATCCTAGTGATCATGCCATAACAACCAGAGTGACATCTACTTCAGATGTTTCACAATGATTGGTTGGAAGTCCTGTTAGAGCTACAATGTTTCCATCATTATATACAGGCCACAAATCAATGTTTACATTGATGTTGTGTTAACGGAACACCACAGTGTCTCCGGTTCTTATCTTTTCATTTTTTTTGCATTTTCAGTTTTCCAGAATAAAAGAATAAAGACATGACATCCCGATTCATTGGATTGTCATAAAGGGGGAGAGTGGTCCACACGCTGTTTACTCTCAAAAATCATTCTCGGACACTTCTCTCCTCCAACTAAAAATGACGGCTCTCCACTCTTTCAGATTCATCAACTACCAAGTCAGCTTCAGATCTAATGGTCAGCTATGCTCACAAGTCAACCATCATTTTCCGCTGTGCTACCGACAATTGTTCCTCAAAAGCATTGACGATCAAATAGTCAGAAAAGGCTACATTCTGGAGGATACAGAGGCTGGATGATCAAATATTGAAGATGAATTCCTTGTGCGCCTAGATCTCTTCAGAACATTCATTCTAGAAGGCGCCATATGACTTCATTCAAGCTGATCAAGAGCAGTTTCTGGAAAGCAAGGATTAAAAGCAAGATTTTGAAGAATCCCTCAACTCCCGGCATCAAAGAACAAATTGAATAAATAACACCAAGGGGGAGATTGTAAGGATTTTTTTCATGAAGCCTTTCCAAGAAGATAAAAGAAGTTGAGACCAAAGAAAGAATAAATTGAAAGAATTTGACCGAATGAAGGCGGTGCTAGACGCAATCAACGCTCGACTCGAAAAGAGGAGAATGTTGCGCCAATATGAACATGCTCTAGCACTGCAAAGCAACTACTACAAGAGGCAGAAGGATCCACAAGAGCTGACAAAGAACATCTGATCACAAAGGGGGAGATTGTTAGAGATATTTTCATGTATTGTGATCAATGTTTTATCTAGCCTCTTGGTAGTACTTATTGTGTATTTAATAGGCCTTAAATGGAAAAGGCTACTAAGCTAAATTAGGATTGGGCCTCCTAAAAAGGAGAGCCCATATCATTGTAAAACCTACCATTCTAAGGAGGCTATAAATAGACCCCTTAGGAATGGCTAGGTTAAGCTTTCCTCACTCAGAAATATTCCCTGCGCATAGAATAGAGCCTACGGAAGTTTTACGCTAACATTCTTCACCATCTTTGTGTAAACTTTCTGGCTATCAATGGAAAGCTTCTTCTACTCCTATTAATCAGATCTTATACATTATAGAGTAGAAATAGGGACCAACATAATCTATGAAGATTATCACACGTGGCTAATCTGTTACGGAATGCCAACCAAGTAACAAAGGAAAACTTGGGAGGGATGTAGTCTTTCCAAATAAACGGCATCCACACTCGGGTGGCAGCCCTAGGCCTAAGCAAATCATAAACCTTGGAGGATACAAGCTTACCATTCATTTGAAAAGCACTTAAGCCAAGTATAGCACTCGGGATGTCCTGGAATTTGGAGAGTATTTCATCTCGGATTTGTGCAATCTTTTTAAACAATTGTGAATCTCTTTCGTGTGGGACAAACTCCCACACACACCTACCCTTGAGATAAACCCCATGGACCCACTTGACCCAAAGTGTGTCCTTTTTAGTATGTATATCCCAAAAAGTTTTTGAAAGTAAAGCCTTATTCCAAACTTTCGTGTCGTGTATGCCAAGTCCACCCTCTTCTTTAGGGAGGCAAATATCAGCCCAGGCAACCCTAGCGAATTTGCTTCCCCAAAGAAAAATGCGACAGATGGATGTAATCCTATCAAGAATAACATTAGGGATGGGAAACATGTGTAACCAAAAAGAGTGCACTCCCTGTATAACTGACTTTATCAGCTCAACTCTGCCTGCATAAGATAAAGACTTAATACTCCAAGCATTAATGAAAGTAGTTATGGACTCCAAAAGTGGTGCATACTGGGCCACAGATAATTTTAAGGGTGCCAGGGGGACCCCTAGATATTTGACCGGGAATGTACCAATTTTGAAATCCACCAGTTCTAGTATAGTGTCAAGGTCATAATATGCATTACCACCAAGGAAGATATTTGATTTATCATAGTTGACCCTAAGGCCAGATATGTTACCAAAATCTTCCAGGGCCTGTGTGAGAATCTGTATAGATGTGGTATCCCCTCTAGAAAAAAGCATCAAATCATCAGCATATGCCACATGTGATATGTTAAGGGATCCACACAGGGGGTGATGTTTAAACATAGGATTTTTGGTCCTAATGTTCAACAATCTGGAAAAATACTCCAAGCAAAAGACAAATAAGAGGGGGGACATAGGATCCCCTTGCCGAAGCCCTCTCTTACCCTCAAAGTGGCCGTGAAGCACCCCATTAATAGATATGGAATAGGAAGGTGTGGTGACACACTCCATAATCCAATGTATAAATCTGCCCGGGAAGCCCAAATGGGTTAACATGGTAGCCAGGAAATCCCAGGATATAGTATCGTAGGCTTTCCGGAGGTCAACCTTTATCATACATCTAGGAGATGCACGTTTCCTAGAGTATCCCTTAATCAATTCTTGTGCAACGAAGACATTATCAATCATAAGTCTTCCATCAACAAACGCCCCTTGGGCGTGGTCAATGAGGTCCGGTAGACACGGGATCATCCTCTTAGAAATAATTTTGGTAATGACTTTGTAGACCACGTTAGTACAAGCAATTGGTCTAAAGTCCGCCGGTGTGGGAGAGTGATTGGTCTTAGGTATTAAAGCAATAACCGTATGATTAGTTTGCTTTAATAACCTGCCAGAGCCAAAGAAGCCCCTCACGGCCCTAGTAAAGTCAAAACCAACGGTGTTCCATTTTTTTTTTTAAAACGCGGATGTGTAACCGTCCGGCCCCGGTGATTTGTTATCACCAATATCAAACAAGGCCTCTTTGATTTCCAAATCGGTGATAGGAGCAACCAAGCCAGGAGTGGCAGAGGCGGGTAAACATCTACCCGAGGCCACCACAGAGGGGTCCAACCCGGAAGTGGGGTAGTAGGCACCAAATAAATTAGTATAAAAATTCACTAATTCCGTAGCAACTTGGTCAATAGAAGTGGTAGAAATCCCATTTTGGAGTTTTAAAGCCGTAATGGAATTTCTAGCCATATTCTTTTTCACAATAGCATGGAAGTATTTAGTACATTTATCACTTTGAACAAGATGATTTGCCTTGGCCTTTTGCTTAAAGAAATCTTCTTCGGCTACTTTAAGGTTAAGAAGTTTTTTCTTAATCAATAAAAGTTCTTCCTTTATAGTTTCATCCAAAGGAGAGAGTATAGAAAGCCCAAGGAGCCTTTTATACTCTTTCTTGGAGTCCTTAACTCTTTCGGAAATGTGGCCAAAGTGAAGTTTGTTGAGTTCCCTAAGTGGTTTTTTAAGGTCCTTCAATTTCTTGGCTAAAATAAATTGAGAACTTCCATAAACCTCTCTATCCCAATGGGTAGTGAGGATGGCATTGAAATTTTCGTGGTTTAGCCACATATTAAAAAATTTAAATGGCCGAGAGGCAGCCCCACAAGTTTCCCCAATGGAAACCATGGAAGCTACATGATCGGATTCAAGTTCGAAGTCATGAAAATGTGTTTTGCACTCAATATCCAAAGTTGACCAAAAGGAATTAATGAGAACTCGATCTAGTTTAGCCCAAAGCGAGCCCCTATTCCAAGTAAGGAATTGGCCCGTGGATGGACAATCAACAAGATTAGTTTGCACTTTAAAATCATTTAAATGTTGCATGTTATAAGCCGAGGGAGGGGTAGGACCCACTCTCTCATTCGGGCATCCAACACAATTAAAGTCTCTCATTACTAGCCAAGGGCTATTAATGGTAGGCTCCAAGTTTGCTAGATGATCCCAAAGGGTTTTTCTATCGAGAACCGTGTAGAGAGCATACACAAAAGTAACAAGATACTCAATTTGAGTAACCTTACATGTGGCGCTAAGATGCACATGTTGTTTATCAATTTCAAGTACATTAATATGAACAAAATGTGGGTCCCAAATTATGCCAATACGGCCACCATCAATTTTGTCAAAATTAGTAATAGATAGCCAAGAAGGTAATCTATTTGAACTAAAATTAACAAAATTAGTAGTAGTCATTTTGGTTTCAAGAAGACAACACAAATGAATATTATTAGTGCGAATAAACTTAAGGATAGAGTTTTGTTTGGAGACCTTATTGAGGCCTCTTATATTCCATGCGGACACAATCATCAAGACCTTTTGTTGTTGTTCCTCCTCCCTCCTTTCTTCCCTTGGTGTCTCGGCCTCACCTCATTTTTTTCAACGATAGGGCTCGGCTTAGCTCTTGCTTTATACCTAGTAAGATATAACAAAGTATATGGATATTCAATAAACCAAGAGTTAAATTCATACCCATATTCCGTATCAAAGACTCCCGGGATAGCCTCCAAGCATTTGGTCGTGAATGTGAGTCCCTCGGTAAGCTCATCTTGGGTGACTCTCAAGTAGTTATCAAGCCGCACCATTTGATCTTTAACTTCACCGGAATGTAGTAGGTGAATCAAAGGTAGATTATCTTTGCCAAGTTCAAGCTTAACAATGACATCATCACGGTATGCATCCCTAATATCATTCACCACACGTACTTTGTCAAAGTCTTTCATACTTGGCCGTTTCACAAGTGATGCTTTTCCCCTCGGGCAGCCCTCTTCATAATACCGGCACAAATAGTGTCTAAAAACAGCCCTCATAAAGGAGGAATCAAAGGTATATTCTTTGTCTCTTGTTGTTATTCCGGGAAGATCTTCAAGGCATTGTTTGGTGAAAAGCATTCCGGGTTGATCTTCCTTTACTATCTTGAGATGATGGTCCATCTTGATAATAGTAGCATCCTTATCTACATGTTTCATGTGTGTAACATTGATACTAGGCATGAGCACCTCCTCGGTTTCCATTTGAACTATCAGCTCATCTTGGTATGTATCATGAAATTTTTGTACTTTACGGATAAGTACATCATCACCATCCTTGAAATCGGATGTGCCACCCTCACCTCTTATAGGCTTCTTCTTTCCCCATTTAAAAAACCGAAATCTCTTAAAGAAGGGATGATCTCTTTTAGTGACAAAAAGATCACTATCTTCTTCAATTTCCACCCTTTCGGTCACTGTTTTGGCAGCCCCATCGGCACCCTCTACTTCTTTTTCGGTCACTGTTTTTGCATTCCTCTCGGGCTCCCCATCTTGCACCATAATGCCTTTGCCCTTCCTTATAGCTTCTTCCTTTTCTTTCCTTTCAATCTCGGCAATAATAGGACATGTAAAAGCATGATGCCCAAACTCTTTGCAATTAAAGCAATAATTTGGAAAGGTCTCATACCTCACATATTGTGTGTGTAGCTTGCCATTTGGTAACTTGATTTTGAGTTCAAGTGGGGGCGGTTTGGAGGCATCAACTTCAATTAGAACTCTTGCAAAGTTAGATCTAGCTTTCTCAAGTGTAACTTTATCCGTAGTTAAAGGTATGCCAACCTTTGATGCCACTTCACTAATGATGTCTTCCTCCCATATTCTCATTGGAAGATGTGGGAATTGTACCCAAATAGGCACTTTAAGGAATTCATCATCATTCATAGAGAAATCATCCGAAAGCAATTTCAATGGAAATGTCTTGCCAAACAAAGTATAGGGCCCTTCCATGAGCACTTTAGCTCTATCTTTCTCATTTTGGAACTTGAATATAACCCACCCTTTATCGTGGCTCCTAAACCGTGTTGGGACAGCCCATTTTTGCACAAGGATTTGCAAATTCTTGTAACCGGGGTAGCCATTATCAAAATAACCAACAAGACAATGACCCCAAATAGCAATCATGGATGGTAGTACCCGGGTAGATAAGTCAATGATGTCTCCTTTAGGCTCGATATACCTTAGTTTCATACCTTTATCGGGTTCCCTATTGTCCTTAAAAAGTGAAACAAATGAGGGTTTAGAGCCAGGTTTCCCCCATTTGTTTTCGCCCAAGACTGCAATCTCCCTGGCAGAATGTGAAGCCGCAGCCTGGCAAGGTAATGCCGCAGGCTGGCGAGATAATGCCGCGGCCTGGCTATGTGATGCCACGGTTTGGCTGGGTACTGCCACGGCCTGGCTGGGAAGTAATGCCGAGGTCCGGCTGGCAAGTAGTGGCGCGGTCTGGCTGGCAGGTAAAGTCGCGGCCTTGTTTACCACCGGCACAATAACACCATTAGTTTCATTGACCTGTGCCACCTCAGTTTGTTCAGTTATTTGCAGAGCTTCAGCTGCCTCCTTTTCCAAGAGTTCCTTCACACTAGGATCAAGTACATATTCCCCTTCCTCAACAACCACATGCTCAAGAGAATTATCATCTAAAATTGGTATAAGAGCCTCCTCATCAATGTTTATGCCTAAGCCATCATTTTGGGGTGCAGATGTTACCTCCAGAATTACATCCTTGCTGACATGAGTATTCTCCACATTTGTGTCCAAGGACTGGACAAAGTCCTCCACCGGTCCCGCTTGCAAGCGTTCCCTGATCTTCACAATTTCATCGTCAGTTTCCTGACCCTTCTTGATCTCATCAAGCAAAGTAGGTCTTACCTCAAACCGTGCCAATAAGGCACCATTACTGGACACCTCCAGTTGGGCTCTTAATGCCCTCAAATTAGCTATCAATGCCCCAGTTGAGCTCTTCCGGCTCAAAGCATCTGCCACTACATTTGCCTTGCCTGGATGGTACTCAATCACTAGGTGGTAGTCCTTTATCAACTCCATCCACCGTCTCTGCCTCATGTTTAACTCTTTCTGAGTAAACACGTACTTCAAGCTCTTATGGTCAGTGTATATGTGACATGTCTCTCCGTAGAGATAATGTCTCCAAATCTTCAGTGCGAACACCACTGCTCCCAACTCTAGATCATGGGTGGGGTAATTTACCTCATGCTTCTTCAACTGTCGTGAAGCATAGGCAATTACCCTCCCCTCCTGCATTAACACACATCCAAGCCCTTGGATGCTCGCGTCACTATAGACATCGTACCCCATACCCTGTTTGGGTAATGCAAGTACCGGTGCCTCGGTCAATCTCTTCTTCAGTTCAGTGAATCCTTTCTCACACTTGTCATCCCATACAAACTTAGCTCCTTTTCGAGTGAGCTTTGTCAACGGTGATGCCAAAACAGAGAACTTTTCCACGAACTTTCTATAGTATCCTGCCAATCCAAGGAAACTACGAATTTCCTTGACGTTCTTTGGCCTCTCCCATTCGGTGATGGCTTCTATCTTCTTGTTGTCGACAGCAATTCCCGATCCCGAAACCACGTGCCCGAGAAAGCCAATCTCCTTAAGCCAAAATTCACATTTAGAAAATTTGGCATAGAGTTGCTTCTCCTGTAGTGTCTCAAGAACGAGTATCAAGTGCTCTTCATGCTCTTCCTCACTCTTTGAGTAGATCAAGATGTCATCAATGAAGACAATCACGAATCGGTCCAAGTATTTGTGAAATACTCGGTTCATCAAGTCCATGAATGCCGCCGGGGCGTTTGTTAACCCAAACGACATAACAAGGAACTCAAAATGCCCATACCTCGTGCGGAAAGCACTCTTCGGTATGTCATCCTCCTTAATCTTCAATTGATGGTACCCCGACCTCAAGTCAATCTTTGAAAACACGGTTGCTCCTCGTAGTTGATCAAACAAGTCATCAATCCTAGGCAAGGGATACCTATTCTTGATTGTGACCTTGTTCAGTTGACGATAGTCAATGCACATTCGAAGTGTTCCATCCTTCTTTTTCACAAAAAGGACCGGTGCCCCCCATGGGGAGTGGCTTGGTCTGATGAAACCGTTATCCAAAAGCTCTTGCAATTGGGTTTTTAACTCGTTAAGTTCAGCGGGTGCCATACGGTATGGCGGTATGGAGATTGGTTTGGTGCCGGTGTAACACCCCGGCCCCACCGGACCCGAGGTAGTTACTCCGGACCAATAAGTACGAACTTCAATTCGAATAAACTAACATGACTTATACTACCGGTTAAGTTGATTAAATAAAATAATATTCAAATTATATCTATTAGACAATTACGAGGTGTTTACTAATATTTGAGGAACATGGAAATATAGGAATAAAGAATAAAAGGGATTAAACTATAATGTGGGTAGTGATTTATATATCGGGTTTTGTTTAATAGAAGGTGAATTGGGTGAAAGTGCGTAATTGGGGGACTCGCTACACGATACTTGGAGCTTGAGGTAAGTCACATTGCAACCAAAATTATGTTTTTACCTCGTAAATAATTATTTACTTGATTTATGTGATGGTATGAATATTTTGATTGATGAATTACTTGTGAGCAAGTTGTATTTGTTGTGATTCTGAGATATATCTGATTATGTATATGTAATATACTTTGGGGAAAATATAAAGTTATGAATTTAAGGATAATAATCCTCGTGGTAAAATTTTGTCCAAGAGACATAAATGTGGAATCTTTTTGAAAGTCAAGATAAAAGACTGTTTTCATAATTGGGGCACCACGGGAGAAATCCGTAGGTGTCGGGCCACCTTCACGTCCGTTAATGGTGAGGGAGGGTTAGGACTACTACTACTTGAGTTAAGAGGTGTAAAGCAAATTAAATGAATTTTTGGAGGGTTCGGTAACCACCCCGAACAACTGGACATCAGATCCCATTTATTAAAGCAGTAGTAGTAGTACCTATTCTCTTAAGGGTCTTTGAACCTAGAACTTAGGGAGTATATCCCATTTTGAGTAGGGAGACGTTGACGTCAGAACTACTTAGACTTCATACTACTCGGAGGG